TGGCATCTGTTGCTGAAGAATCAAGATTTGATTGGACAGGTGTACTACCAGGATAGACAATTTTGTGGAGGTATAAGGAAAATATAAATATTATATCTCATTATTATTTGCATCAGGATGAAATTTATTTTAAAGAAGAGGAATCACTAGTTTGTTTTTAATCTAATACCCTATTTGTGTTAAGAATTTCTAAAGGGAATGATAAGTGGCTATCCCAGGGCTTCAGAAATGACAGACTTCGAAGAAAGAGAGAGAAACAAAACAAAACAAAAATGATGAATTTTGGATGTGTAGCCACCAGAGGGTAGAAAGGAGTAAAAATATTTTGTTTTTATTTGTACAAATAGCTAGTGGGTTTTTTTTTTTTTTTGGGAGTTGATTATTTTCATTTCTTCTTGACATTTATAATTTTAAGTCTATTTTAGAACTAGAATCGTCATTACATAATATTGTGCTGTATATTGATAATTAAAAATTTTTTTTGGTTTTGGGGATCAAACCCAGGGCTTTGTACACACTAAGCATGCACTCTACCACAGAGCTATCTGCCCTCCCTGCCCCTGGGGCCCATTTCTTTTGTAAATACCCACCACTCCCCCTCAGTTCTTTCCTAATCTTTCACCATTTTATTGTATCTTATTTTTCTATCTTTGTGATGATGGTTGTGGGTGGGGAAGTTAAACTTTTGAGATTTTTAAGACTGAGCATTGAAGCCTGGCATAGTGGCAAATGTCTGTTAATCCTAGAGACTCCAGAGACTGAGGAAGGACGACTGTAAAATCGAGGCCAGCCTCAGCAACTTAGTGAGGTCCTAAGCAACCTAGAGAGACCCTGTTTCAAAATGAAAAATAAAAAGGYTTAGGGATGTAGCGTCGTGTTAAAGCACTCCTGGTTTCAATCCCAATACCTAAAACAAAAGAAGAGCACTGAATATAATGTTCCATGTGTATAAACAAAAGAGAAACAGAAAGAAAAAAACAAACAAAACCCAGCTCGTATCAAAAACATATTTTCAAACCATTAATTTCTCTCCATTTTTATGCTATTCTAATATAAATCTCTGTTACTGTAACTTGACAGATACAATTGCCTTCAAACTAATCTTGCTTTTACACTTGCTTCCTCTTTAATTAATTTGTTGTATAAATCCATTTACAAGATCTTTTCAAAATGGGATTTAGATCACGTCCTTCTATTTAACCACCCCACAGTCAAGCTTTCCTTTAAGAATAAAAACCCAAACTCCTTTCTCTGACCCATATAACCCTTCATATTCTGATTCTCAACCTCTCCCTCCATCCTTATTTCCAGCACCTTCAGTTGGGTCCAGTATGTTTCAGCCCACACCTTAGGGCTTTGGTATTAAGAATAAAGACTGCCTGTACCTTCTCAGAGCTGGCTGCTTCTTACTATTTAGATTTCAACTTAAGTATCACCTTTCCAGAGTTTGTTTCTGACATCCAATCTAGAGCATGCTACAAGTTACTTTTATCAGTCTGTTTTACATGTACATAGTGCTGCATCTAACATTATCTTATTAGATAAATAAATAAGATAATCTTTTGGTGCTGGGGATTGATCCCAGGGCCTTAAGCATTGCTAAGCATGCACATTACCACTGAGCTACATCCCCAGCCCTTACCTTATTAATCTTTTTTTTATCTTTAGAAAATAAGCTTTATGGGAATAGGAAACTTGTCCTTCTTATCTTACTTTTCAGAAGAGTGCCTGAATCACTGTGGGTATTCAAATTAACCCAAGTAGAACTAGTCTATTTTCAATGAACTGAGCACAAATAACTTTATCTACTAGTATTAGTGATTGTGATGCTTTATTTGGACATAGCTGTTTCAGATAAATTTGAATTTTAACATCTTTTTCACCATTGAGTTTTTTTATTTATATAATTCTGTTTTTAATGTTTTCCACAAACATTCTTTCATGTTAAATGGCTTGTCCTGAATACTGTAACTACTAAGCAGAAACCATTTACTCTTTCCACTGTTGCTATGTGTGAAATATAAGGCTAAGCTCTGGGAATGTACCATGAACAAGAAAAACACTATTCATGCTTTCATGGAGCTTATCTTCTGGTGGGGAAGACAGAAACACACAAATGAAAGCAAAGCAAAATAGAAAGGAAGACAAAATAATTTTAAGTTGTGAGCAGTGATTTGGTGGAGAAAACAAGACCAATCCATCTCTAGAAAATCACAGAACATTCTAGAATAGATCTCGGATCTGGAACCGAGGGAATCATCAAACATTTCTCTTTTTTTTTTAATATTTATTTTTTAGTTTTCGGCGGACACAACATCTTTGTTTGTATGTGGTGCTGAGGGTCGAACCGGGCCGCACACATGCCAGGCGAGCGCGCTACGCTACTGCTGGAGCCACATCCCCAGCCCCCATCAAACATTTCTTGTGCAAATTATTTTCCTCTGACAATCATCTTTGGCTTTTGAACTTGCTGTGGAGAGCAGAGGTAGAAGATACAATAAAGCAATGGGAGAAGATTCTTAGATAATGAGACTTGAAGGCTGTTCATTATCTTTGTGATAATGTATTCATTTCCCATTCTAGTTTGTTTAAAACCCATCAAATAAGTGCTGAATGCTTGTTTGGTCTTGGCTACCAAGTATGAGGATCTTTAAGACTGTATACCAAATATGGTGGGGTAAATAATGACTAGATCAGCCTGATTAAATGGGCACTTCATGCTGAGGAGAAGTGAAATTCCAGGTTAGATAAGCAAGATTAGATTATGGTTGATAAGTATTACTTTAATGTGTGTGTTTGAGCTACATCCCCGGTCATTTTAAAAATTTTTTATTTTGAGACAGGTTCTTGCTAAGTTGCTGAGGCTGACCTGGAACTTGTGCTCCTTCTGTCTCAGCCTCCTGAGTCCCTGGGATTACAGGTATGTGTCTCTACTCCCAGCCCAGATTACTTTAATGTATTAAATTAATAAATATGGTACTTTGAAAGCAACAAAGTATTTGGCCTTTATCCTAACTGTATTGTAAGGTGATTCAAAGAGCCTCAGCTATGGAGTCAGACTGATGTAGAGGTCACCTCTTAGTCAGATGAACTCTGGCAGTTTTCTTTGCTTAACTGAGCTTTGATTTCCTCATCTGTAAAATGGTGGTAATACTCTTTCCATAGTGGTGTTTTAAAAGTTAGAGGTAAGGAGCCCCAAGTGACTCTCACRTGGTAGACACTCCATTGGGTTGCTATTATTGGATAATGGTGAGCCATGGAATGTTTTTTGGGGACAGGATAGATAATGGTGAGTTTATACTATACCACTATACATGGTTTAAAACCCTTTATGTGTATCTTAATTTTCATATTCTTGGCGATARATATTATCCTCAGAGAGATTATATAATTGAGTCAAGTGGTACATGGACTTGAGTCAGTGTACTTACAAAGGTGGGGTTTGAAGCCAGGGAGTCTGACTACAGAATCTATGCACTTTGGGGCTGGGGATGTGGCTCAAGTGGTAGCGCGCTCGCCTGGCATGCGTGCGCCCCGGGTTCGATCCTCAGCACCACATACCAACAAAGATGTTGTGTCCRCCAACTAAAATATAAATATTAAAAATTCTAAAGGAAAAAAAAGGATCTATGCACTTCACCTCTATCCTGGATTATGAAAACTTTATGAAGATTCATTTAGTAAATCTAAAGGTTTTAGATTTTTCAGTAAGCAAGAGAAAGAAACCTTCAATTTAACATTATCATCCTTGTTTAGTAATTAGTGAATGACAAAATAGTAGTCTTTGTTAGGCATAATAAAACTAGCTGGGCATATGCCTGTAATTCCAGTGTCTTGGGAGTCTGAGGCAGGAAGATCACAAATTTGAGGCCAGCCTGGGCAATTTAGCAAGATCCTATCTCAAAATAAAAAGGGATGTAGCTCAGAGGTAAAGTGCCCCTGGATTTAATCCCCAGTAACAATACATAAAAACAAAAACCCCACCCCTCTCTTCCTTCCTGGTCTAACAGTCTTAAAAATGTTTCTTAACTTAGAAGAATACTACCTGAATGATCCTTTATTTAGGTTAAATGTAAAAAAAAAAAAAAAGAATATATGAATCAGATAATCTTAAGCTTCAAGTTCACAAAGGAATCAAATTTTCTTAAGACTTTACTTATGCTGTTAACCATTTTAGATATATTGCTTGTTTATTGGATGCCATTTACTCTCCCCCACAAATTCACCTTATTTTGATTTGGGGACAAATGGGAAGACAGTGATTTTCTTAACAGCCCAGTGGATTCCTACCTTCCTTTTGGTTCAGAATATGGAGACTAAAAACTATTAACAAGTTCAGTCATTTATATTTTTTCTAATTAGCTCTAATGCAATTAAACCAAAACAAAGAAATTGAGAGTTTACCCCCATATTCCCTACCATCCCAATCAACACATAGTAGTCCTATCTTTCTTTGGGAAAATGCTTTGGGGTAGAAGGCAACAAACCAAACAGCAGGCAAATAACATCAGCTCTTTTCTGTTTCTTCACCCGGATAGGTAGGGAGAGGGAGCAAGAACCCCCATCAAAAAGAACAAATGCTTAAGTATGCCATTCTAAAAAGCCCTTGTTTTTTCACACGCCCACCCCCTGAGCTCTGCAGTAATACCTCAGAGATTGTATAGTCTCTGCTTTAAATATAAATATATATATAAAACTTCCCCCTGTCTCCTTCCTCTCCTCCTCTCTCTCTCTCTCTTTTTTTTAATTTCCTATAATAAAGTTTCCTATTGGATAAGGTCAGCTCTCTGATTTATGCTTGGCTCCTATTGGAAGCTCGCAGGGGCTGACATCACTCAGGAAAGCGAGGGGGTAGGGCTGCCAGATCAGTTTGTCACCACCCAGGCTCCCTTGCCTTTGGCTGGGTGCAACTTCCATTTTAGGTGTTGGATCTGAGGGGGAAAAAAAGAGAGAGAGAGAGAGAGAGAGAGGGGGAGAGAGAGAGAGCGAGAGCGAGAGAGAGTGAGAGTGAGAGAGAGAGAGAGAGAGAGGGAGAGAGAAGAGAAGCAGAAAAGATCCTGAAAGGAGGAAGAGGTGGTGAAAATCAGCTGCTTTGCTGGATTTGTCTTTCTCAGCACATTGGCGAAGCCTTGGGTTTCTTTCTCAAAGGATTGGTTTTTAGAAGTCCACATTTGAGGTGTGTGCTTTTTTTTTTTTTTAAAGAAAAAAATGTGTGTACAGCCGGGCAAAGGAGGATAAGCCAAGTCGAATTTTTGTCTGACGGTAACTAGAGGGAATTTAAAAACAGAGAGTCTGTTATGCTGATGGGTGACTTTTAAGCAATTGTTTTTTCCTTCTACTTTCAATACTTTGAGGGATTTTGATATTTTATTATATTAAAAAGGTAAAATATTACAAGACCTGGAAACAAACTTCTAGATTTAATACTGGGAACTGAATGGAATCAGGGGGGTAAGAGAAGTTGTGTGAATTTACATTTTGGTGTGTTCTTTGATTTTATATTTTTTCTGAATTAAGCTAACATACTTCTGTTTTCAGAGCCCAAATCAAAAGTTGGTTTTTTGGCTTGTTGTGTGTGGGTTGGGAAAGGAATTTGTCYGGGTCGGAAGCTAGTTATACAGATGGTTCTTCATATGTTTCAAACTTTTTCTTTTTTCCTTTTACCATTGGATTTGTGGAAATGGAAAATTGCAGGGAGCTTTGCAGCTTAAATGGTATTGTTTTTTCCTCCCATAGAGAGTTTGAACGGCCCAGATCGGTTTCAGCCCTGCTGTTCCTGGGTGGATCCCTCTTACTTTTCCAGGTGTGGTGGGTGGGAGCCTCACTCGCCGCTAGATGTAGCCTCCCAGCTTTGCTTTATAAAAGAAAACAAATGGATCTATGTTAACTGAATTGACATATCCTTCTCCTCCTAAAACCTTTAATGGCAAAGATTTGTGGAGGTTGTTTTGTTAAATCTGTAACAGGGTAACGCTTGGTATACTTAAAAGGGTAGAAGTTCTAATCATGCTTTTTATTTCACTTGAGTATAGTGGCAATACACCTGAAAAAAATTTCAGCTTTGTGGTCTCTGAAAGGTCCATARGTTGAATAAGGTGAGCTAAGAGAAACCATTTACACAAACTTTGATGTTTAAAATGCATTTGAGAAAGCAAAAGGAGAGTTTTTATTTTTAAGTCAATTGGAAAGTTATTTTTTGGAGGTGAGTTTGTTTGGTTAATTTACCTTTAAGTCGGAAGTCTGTTAGAACTGAAGGGCATGACTGTGCTTTTGTATCTTAAACCTTAAGATTTGTTTGGTTTTGTTTTTGCACATATATTTTTGTAAAAGTACTGATTCCAGATAATCATATAGCCAACTCATCAGTAGCTGAAAGCTAGGGTGTTCTCTTCCTCTTTTTGAAATGCGAATCAGTCCGAAAATTATAGCTGAGTAGATACTGCCCTAATTGTAACAAGATGGGCCTTAATGTATAAGCTGCTCATTAGCTTTAAACTGGTATGTATCTTTATTTAATATTCCTCTGATTTCCTACCGCCCCCCTCCACCCATTCTTTTCAGACTAGAACACTTCCTTGAATTTCCTTTCTAGAATGAGAACATTTCTTGAAAGATGATTTCATCCTTGTGAGGTTGTGGCTTCAGGAGGAGACAGAACTTTGTTCTTCCTCTCAATATAAACTAGGTAAGGGTTACATAAAAATTCTGATGTCTGGGTCTCATAACAAGTAAATTAAAAATAAAAAGTGTGTACAGTCTGTTCGGCATAGTTCTTATTTAATATTTTTCTGATTTTCTTTCAAATGTGCTCTCTACCTTAACTCCATACTAGGGAGGTTTCATTGGAGGGTTGGTTATGTTGCTGCCGGACTGTCGGAGTGTTGGTTTCCCACTCAACCTTTAGGGGGGAGGGATGAGAGAATCTGAAGGAAGAGTACAAAGGCAGTTTGAAAATAGGTTCTGGATGACTGAGTGATAGTGATTTGGGTCCGGCTTTAAATACTGAGCTTTATGTAGCTGCAGTGAACATTGCAGTTAACTAGGGTCTAGGACTGTTTCCATGAACTAGGGCATTGTTTTGATATGTGTGTAGTATTAGAGCCTTTGGGGTGATAAGATGGAAGATTTGTCTTTTACCTCACTACTGGTTGTTGTTTTCCCAGGAATTATAGTAAAAGGTACAGATAAGAAAATCTTTTATTTTGTAAATTTTTTTTTGTTTTTTTCTTTATTTTGATTTTGGGGTRAAAATGATGACCACTGTGAGTTGTAAGATTTTTGTTTCCTTGTTTGTCTCCTATATAATACTGTTGGTTTCTTTGTTATGTGAGCAAGGTAGTGATCCGTGTTCCAGGTGGAGTCTCTTTTGGGTGTTTAGAGTTCTAGTACCTTTCTTAGGATTCCAGCATGGACAGAGGGACTAGAATATGTTCTGTCAGCTAGTATAAAATTGAGGTTATTTTGAGATCTTAAAAAAAGAAAAGCTCCCAATAATTACAATCCAGCCTTTGGTTTATGAAGTAGTTGCTCTCCAGGGTTGGGTGAGATAAGATTAATGCAAATAAATTAAGCATAGATCACTATCTATTGATAAAATGATTAGCTCTGTATAATTTTTGCTTTCTATTTTGGTACATGATAGTCCTCTGTTARTAACTGCCAGGTTCTCTTGCCTTTCCCCTCATTGTTTTTTATGGTGTGCTAATCATTTTGCACAAACTATTACTTAATTCCAACAAAAACCTTTTTTTTTTTTTTTTGGAATCCCAAACCTAGAAGCACAGTTTTGCTGAAAATCTTTACTGCCTGTAAATGGTGGAGGCCAGGATTAACCCTGGTCTGACTTGACTACAAAGTCCAATGACTTAACCACTAATACACTGCCATTCTTCAGAGAGAATGGAAATAACAGAACTAAAATGAACTTACAAGAGGCAGGAGTGTTTCATTTTATGTAGGATCAGTAGTCACTCAGATTTCCAACCTTCTCCCATTTCCTTCAGCACCCATGTTGGGATAATGTATGTATGTAAAAGATCCATTTTCCTTAGAGCCCTGGGGAGTTGAATATGCTAGAATGGATATTATTTTTAGAACAGGGATCTTTCCATATGTGTGCCATTGCTGTCCCTTTTTTTCCCTCCTTTTTCTTTCTTCCTTTTTTTTTTTTTTTTTTTTTTTGGTACTGGGGATTAAACTCAGGGTCATTCAACCACTGAATTACAACCCCAGCCCTATTTTGTATTTTATTTAGAGACAGAGTCTCACTGAGTTACTTGGTTTCTCGATATTGCTGAGGCTGGTTTGAACTTGTGATTCTCCTGCCTCAGTCTCCCCCGAGCTGCTGGGATTATAGGCGGGTGTGCCTGGCTCTTTTTTTGAGACAATTTCCTTATATTTCCCAGAGTGGCCTTGAATTGGCCATCCTTTTGCTTTAGCCTAACCTAGTGGCTGGGATTACCGGTGTGTGTCACTGTGCCTGGTTCTAATTCCTTTAAATTCCTACAGTTGTCTCAAACTGTATTTGATTATCAGTGAAGTTTTCTTTTCCCAGAGGATTTTCAGGTATTTGGTTTAGGGAGAAACTTGTAGGAGGTAGTTCAAATACCATAGTAATCATACTATATTAAAATTCTCTCACTTTTTTGTCTTTTTTACTTTTAGACTAAGCTGCTTGGGTATAGGTACTATCTTCCTACCTCTGAATCCTTTAGTATCTATCTTAGTATATGTACATACTAAGGTGCTTCGAAAGCCTTGGTTAAATAAGGCACTTGATTGTAATCATTGAGGGATATTTATTTAGCAATACTAGGGATTGAACCCAGGGATGCTCTACCACTGAGTACAGCCCCAACCCTTTTTTTATGTTGAGACAGGGTCTCACTAAATTGTTGAGGCTAGCCTTGAATTTGTGGTCCTCATGTTTCAGCCTTCCATATTGGGATGACAGGCCTGATTCACCACCTAGCTAGTGAGGAACTTTTGTGGGGAAGGCTTGAAAGGAAGTTGAGATAAGAAGCAAAACAACATAAATTAATAATATTTCCATGTGGTTTTGAAACTTTTACTGTAGGCTGAAGTTCAGCCTACATCTTCTTCCTTTCATTTTTAAGCAAAGTTTCTGGGGGAAATAATAGTAAAGATTTTAACTTTACTTCTGTTTCCTTTCCTGCAAGCAGCCCAAGAAAGGTATGTGTAAAAAGCAAGGGACCTAGGTCATTCATTTCAGAAGCTGTTAGTTTCACACTGAAAATCTAAAATGTAGCCATTTTTTTAGGGAAGAATATATTAGGGCAGCAGCAAGGAAGTACTGCTTTCAGCCCTGGTTGGAAAGAGTGGTTTTCTACCTGTTAATAAAAACACAGAGTGTGGAAGGATAGTTTTGACCATCAGTGCTTCAGAGAAATCATGTTTGGTGTCTTTTTTTTAGTGGGGGTAGGGTGTGTGGGGGGAGGCGCCCGGTAGGCCTGGAGATTGAGCACATGCTGGTGAGCATTCCACTACTGAGCTACATCCACAGCCCCTGATATCATTTGTGCTGTTTTTTTGGTTTTGGGTACCAGGGATTGAACTCGGGAGCACTCAGCCACTGAGTCACATTCTCAGCCCTATTTTGTGTTTTATTTAGAGGCGGTCTCACTGAGTTGCTTAGCACCTTGTCATTGCTGAGGCTGGCTTTGAACTCGCAATCCTCCTGTGCTGTGTGCACCACCATGCCCAGTTTATCATTGTGGTTTTTATCACTGCTTCAGTCATGGATCTTTAGGAGATTTTGTTCGTTAAGTGTATTGGAACGTTTATGAGTTTAAGAACCAAAATTAGTTTTCATGGATAATTTAGAATCCTGATAGTAACTGGAAACTAGCCTAAAGGAATGAACTGTAGGTAATCAGGAAAGAAATAACTACAAATATTTTTTCATTTTCCTTTCCCTCGGAGAAAGGGGTTAAAATCAGACAATGCTGAAATAGGGATTGCTCTGCCTAAAAAATGCAGCTACCTTCAATGCTTCCAATAGAGTACTGATATAGCGTGGCCGGRTGATTGTAGGAGGCAAGAACAACTCTTCTGGATAGGAGTGAAAAGGGGGAAGTTAGGGTGTTATTGTTTTGTGTTTAGTCATATATATTTTTTGGAAGTATTCTCCRTAATTTACTGAGAATTTCATGTTGATTATTAAATATTATACACTGTTCTTGATTATAAATATTATATGTAGGGCCCGTCTGCATTTACTGATCTGGTTCAAGGACAGTTCTTACTTTTAGAGCCCCTTCCTGTCCTTTGGGTGTAGTCTGATTGGAGTGATTTGGGCAATTTAAATCAGTCATGTAGAGAGGGGGCCTTATAAGGATCCATAGTTTTTTTTGTTTTTTTTTTTTAGTTGTAGATGAACACAATATCTTTGTCATGTTTCATTTATTTATCTATCTATCTATCTATTTATTTATTTATTTATTTATTTATTTATTTTTAATGTGCTGAGGATCGAACCCAGTGCCTCAAGCAATGTGAGGCAAGCGCTCAATCACTAAGCTACAGCCCCAGCTGCAGTTTGGTTTTTTTTTTTTTTTTGGAGAGGGGTCTCTATGTTGCCCAGGTTGGTCTTCAACTTCTTGACTCAAGTGATCCTCCTGCTTTAGCTTCTGGAGTAGGTGGGACTACTAGAGTGTACCACCTTGCCTGGCTCCAGATTTTCTCAAGGCATTCTGTGCTCGTTCATGATAGGTAATTTGTCATGGTTTTCACAAAACGTTTCCCATTATATGATGATAAAAGTGATTTTAACATTTTCATTTCAAACTTGCAGGAAAGTTTGCATGAATAGTACAGTAACTTCTGTATACCGGTCACTTACTCAGACACCAAGTGTTGCTTTATTTTTATTTGTTTGTGATACTGGGGATATATCCTAGGTCCTTTGACATGCTAAGTAAGCGCTTTACCACTGAGCTCCATCCCCAACCCTGTTGTATGTTTTTTGACCAATATGCTGACCAAAAAGGTAATTTCCAATCTGTTTCACTAGTGTGGTGAGACAAGGCTGCATAGCAGAGTGCTTAAGGATATGGATGCTGAAGCCAGACTAAACTGCTTGGTTTCAAATCTTGCTCCAGTACCTACTAACCTATGGCAAATTGTGTAATTGCTCTGTGTTTTAGTCTTGTCTGTAAAATGGGGATAATATTAACCGTCTTATAGGACTGTTGTGACAATTACATGATTAGATATGTAAAATTTGTGGAACAGTGCAGAGCTCATAGTAATACCTTATATTTGCTATTAGAATGGTAAATGAACTCAAATTTCATTTGTCTGTTGGACTAAATATCTTCCTTCCTTCCTTCCTTCCTCCCTCTCTTCCTTCCTTCCTTCCTTCCTCCCTCTCTTCCTTCCTTCCTTCCTTTCTCTCTCTCTCTCTCTCTGAGGATAGAACCCAGATATTTTACCACTGAGCTACATCCCCAGTCCTTTTTATTTTTAATTTTGAGATGGGGTCTCGATAAGTTGCTGAGGGTCTCACTAAATTGCTGAGGCTGGCCTTCAACTTGTATTCCTCTTGCCTCAGCCTCCCGARTCTCTGGGATTAAGGTCTTAGAACCTGAGATTTAGACCAAAAAGAAAACATAGAGAAAGAAAAAAGACCTCAGATTTGGGGCAGGATTATAGCCCAGATTAGAG